GAACTTAACTGGAGGTGGGGAAACTCTTACTCTAATTGGCACCTGAATGCCACCATCTCAGGCACCAACTTAACCCACTGTGGCACAACGTCAGCCCCTCAGTTCTTTTTCCTTTTTGTTTCTCTGACTGGGTAATGTCAAATGCTTTTCGTTTATTCATTTATCTGAGTCTATGCTTTAAGCCTTCTAGTGCATTTTTCAATTCATTCATTTTTAAAAATTTTATTGCTTTACATGATACAGTGTTGTAGGTGTAGGGATTCCCTGCTCTCTTCCTCACCTTCCCACCCCACCATTCCTCCCATATTATAACAGTGGTGTAGTCCTCCAGCAACAGTTGTAAGTTCAATCCAAATTCCTTAGCATTTCTATTTGGTTCATTTTTATTGTTCCTGTTTGTTTGTCCAACTTCTTATATTTTTATCTATTTTCAAGAGTTCATTTAATTTTATATTTGTATATCCTTGTGGCTCCCTGAGCTACTTTTTTTGGGGGGGGGGTAAAAAGTTTATTCATTTATTTGAAGGTCAGATAATGACAGAGAAAGAGATCCTTCATTTCTTGGTTTATTCCCCAGGTGGCTGCAGTGGCCAGGCCTGAGTGAGGCCAAAGCAAAAGCCAGGTGCTTCAGCCAGGACTCCCATGTGGGAGTAGGGGCCCAAAAACTTGGGCCAGTTCCCCACTTCCTTTTATTTTCCTAAGCCGGTAGCAGTGAACCGAATCAGAAGTGGAGCAGCTCGCACTCACATGGGATGCTGGCGTTCCAAGCAGAGGCTTTACTTTTTACACCACAGCTGAACTACTTTAAGAGGATATTTTAAATTGTTGGCAGTTGTTTCACACGGCTCCATTTCTTTATTCCGTTAGTAGAGCTCTGTTAGTTTTTTTTTTTTAATTGCCTAATTGTTAGAGATCCTTGTGGTTTTGTATTGCTTGTTCCACATTTGAGGAGCCAGCCCCTTCCTGAGGCCTTTGTGAGCATTCTTTGGCAGGGACAGAACTTCACTATTTAACCTGTGGTTTTGGAAGGGCCAGCTGGTGATGAGCCCTGAGCAGGCAGAGCAGGATAGAGCCACAGTGTGGGTTTTTGGCTGAGTTAAGAAGTTGCTGCTCCTCCTAGTCCTGATCAAACAAGTCTGGCCCCTTTAATTCTATAAAATGAGTGAAAGTGAGTATCTTTGTGTTTAGGTGAGATTGTTGGAGAGAACTTGAAAGCAGGACCTGGAGAATAGCCCTCTAGAAATTCAAGCTAGGTTGAACTGCCCACTTTTCTGTGGGCAAACAACTCAGCTTTGTGGATGGATTATGCAGACAGTGGTTGTCTACGATCAAGGGTCACAGCTGGCCCGAGAACAGAGTGTCACGAAAACCCGCATGCTCATCACTGAGGCCTCTGCCTCCTTTCTTTGTTTTCATTTAGCCCCAGATGGTACATTTGTGCTGCCACTCCCAGTGTTCCTCATGAAGTGAGACTGGGCAGGGCTCTCCAGGACACACCTCAATGTTAGTGAACTGCATCTGGTTCTTTTCTCTTGTATAAGTTGGCCTTAGGAACATAGTGTGCCTGGCACTGTATCTGCTTGGAATACAAGGAGGAGTGGCGGAGCAGCAATGAGACCATTTTTATTCTGTTGATCTTCAATTTTGTGGACCATTGTTCTTCAAAAGATATATTGACCTGTGGTGACACTAGTTGAACTTCTCATGGTGGAGAATTTGAGTCCTAGGCATCCACTTTCTTTCCCTATAGATTTTCTATTAGGGATATAACATAAAAATATAGTCACATAATATGACTTGGTCCTTTGTGACTGATTTAGTGATTTAGTTTCATTTAGTGTGCTTTTTTTTGTGTATTTGTGTGTTTAAAGGATTTTATTATTTACTTTAATAAGTTACAGAAAGAAAAACAGATTAAAAAAAAAACCAGTTTTGCAACTTCTGGTTCAATCCCCAAATGGCCGCAGTGGCTGTAGTCGAGCCATGCTGGGGCCAGGAGATTCATCCAGGTCTTTTACATGAATGGCAGGGCCATAAAAACTTAGGCCATCTTCTCCTGCTTTTCCCAGGCCATTAGTAGGAACTGGATCTGAGATGGTACTCATGGGACCAGCAGCCACATGGATGCTGACATTACAGGTGGTGGCTTTACTCTTTGTGCCACAATGCTGGTGCCTAGTGTGATGTAGTTAAGGTTCATGTTGTAGCACACATCACTAATTTCTCTTTATCTTAAAATAACAGTGTTTCCTTTTACTTAACTATTAAAAGCACTTGATATTCTAGAAAGGGAAAAAGCTCTTTCCTCTTTTTGTTTTGTGTACCTGCTTTCCTTTCCACCTGTCCCAAGCATAATGTTCACCTGTTAGTGGAATATTCATATCCCAGTTCTAAGTTCACAGATACACGTTCAGAATTCAGGTAATGATATTACCTTTGAATAGTCTCCACATGCCTTTTAAAATATCTGCGGAAAAAGTCTACCTCAAATTCTCTGAAAGCAAGCCCAGGATCTTAGTATCTGCCCCTGGAAGGTCATGTGCTCATAGACCTAGTGTAAGTTTGACTTTCTCCAGAGGAGTCTGAGAATAGTCCTCACAGGTCCTACCTACCAGCAAGGCTTGGTTCTCTTTGATAAAAGCACTATCAGTTGCATTGTTTAGTTGAATCTTACTCATAAATGTTACTCAGAGGCAGCAAACAGATTATGTGTATTGTGCTTGGATCACATTGTTTTGTAAACTTGATTATGTGTTGTTATAACGAACACATCTGTGATCACAGAAGCTTCTTCTGGCTGCCCTGCTTGGATTGTATGTTGGGCATAGGAAGCTGGTCTCATTCATTTTTATTTTCTTGTTTCTTTGGCAGACCATCAGCACATCAAATGCTTATCCAATTGAGTTTTGAGTTATTAAGTACAGTAAAATTTGTATGAAACGTAGTCAGTTGTATGCACTAAAATTATAGCCTGATGAGTGGATATTTGTTGGTCAAACATATGGCTGATAATTCGTTAAGAGATCACTAAACAGAGTGCTTTGATTAATATTCCAGTTAATTTTAATAATTATTAAGAGCTGAAGTTTATAATTTTTCATTTTAGGATTTATTTATGAGAGTGATATAGAGAGAAAGAGAGAGAGAGAGAGATTTGGGAAAGGGAATTTGAAAGAGATTTTCTATCTTTTGGATCACTCCTCAAATGCCTGCAACAGTCAGGTATGTGCCAGGCTGAAGCCAGGAGCCAGGAACTCCATCGTGGTCTCCACAAACATGGCAGAGGCACAAGTACTTGGGCAATCTCCTGCTTTCCCAGGTGCAGTAACAGGAAGCTGGATTGGAAGTAGGACAACAGGACTTGAAATGATGCTCCAACAGGGAATTGCAAGCTGTTTAAACCTCTGTGTCATGATGCTGATGCTATTGAAGGATAGGGTCTTTGTTTTTAGAGATTTATTTATTTGAGTTATAGAGACAGCAGGAGACACATGTGTAACACACACACACACACAGATTGAGGGAGGGAGTGAGGGAGAGAGGAGAGAGAGATCAATCTTGTATCTTTTGGTTAACGCCGCAGATGGCTGCAGTGGCCTGGGATTGGCCAGGTCAAAGTCAAAGTCAAGTCCCAAGCTTGCGTGTGGGTGGCAGGGGCATAAGCACTTGGCCATCTTCTGCTTTTCCTAGGCCACCAGCAGGGAACTGGATCATAGATGAAACAGCTGGGACTGGAAGAGTCACCCACAGGGGACACCTGACTCCAGGATGTAATCCTGTTGCCTAAGTTTTTAAACTCAACAATGAAAGTTGATATTACTTTAAATAAGCAAATTAATAGTAAAACATCTTTCCAGAAAACCTGTCATAAAGTGTCTTTCTAATAATTTGATGCTTTATAATTTCTACGATTGAGTTGTAACTTTGTGTTTGCTTTCCTCAGTACGGTTTTGCAGTCTTTTTTAAACATAAACCATATTTATGTCTTGTTGCATTTTAATTGATTAAATATAAGTTGTCACTGTATTTTTAATTAGTAGTAAATGTGAGATTTTCACTTTCTCATAGTTTAAAAGTATACGGGTCTGATAAACATTTTAAGATGTATTTTTTTATTTGAAAGGCAGATTGATACAGAGAGAAGGAGACAAAGAAGGAATGATCTTCTGTCCATTGGCTTACTTCCCAGGTGGCTGTAGCTGAGCCTATACAGAGCCAGGAGTTTTTCTCCAGGTCTTCCACGTGTGTGCAGGGTCCCACAATGTTGAACTATCCTCCACTTTTGTCCCAGGATGTAAACATGGAGCTGGACAGGAAGTGGAACAGCCAGAACATGAGCCAATGTGCATATGGGATACCAGTGCTTGAGGACAGAGGATTAGCTTGCTGAGCCATGGTTCTGGCCCCCTGATAAACATTTCTAACCTCTTGATTTGAATTCTCAGTATGAGTATATTAATGTATATTAATTATTACTGCCTGAAGTATAACAATAGAACCCTTATTTTATAATTTTATCAACTCATCTTATGGTCCCTGAGATATCATTTCCATTCACCTTCTTCATTTTGTTTAATAGAATGGGAAATTCTGTTAAGTTCAGAGAAATGCCTTATTTCAAGTTGGATAGTCTAATAGCAGGCACATCTGAATCTAGCTTTTATGAGTCCAAGTAGGAAAACCTTTGTTGATATTATATAAATCAGTGCCACTACTCATTACTACCGAGTTTGATTATTTTAGAGGAAATAATTACTGTGCTCAGTTATTCTACAGAATTGCACATAGACAACCGAAATTGTAAAATCTAGATCTGTATCAGTAAGTATCAATAAGTACACAATGAACTGTGCAACACAATATAACAATATGGAAATGCAAATCACATATGCTGTTTGAAAAATTAATGTAAATTTTTAATCATTGATTTAAGATCAATATTAAAAGTTGAACAAAATTTTAAAAACATGAATTTAGGTACAATGTTTTTTCTTTCCCAGACAGATATTGATTATGTACATGGTGTTATAGCCAAACTGGAGAAAGAGTAAGTCTGTCTTAATTATTGCAATGAAAATATTTTAATTACTGTTATCTTATGGCTTTTTGCTAAAAGCAAATGTCCCCTTTGTAGTTCATTGCTCCAAGTTTTAATAATTATTAGACCACCCATCACTGGACTTTCATGGAGTTGTAAAGTTGGTGTTGATATCCAACCATCTCATGGAATGATGGTGTATTTCATTATATAAAAAAAAGACTTGATTGTCATTTGTTAGTAAGTTTGTCATTTGTCATTGTCAAATAATAGTACTTAATCTTGAAGCCAATGAACACAGCATAACACAAGATTACTTAATCTTTGTCCAACCCAATGTATGAAACAAATTTTCTCCTGGCAGATAAGATATTCATCATTCAGCTTCAAGCTTTGTACTAGTTAGAGCTGCCAAGGGATATGCATTTAGGGCATGAGGGGAGCTCTGTGGGGGTAATCGGCTCCTATGATTATGGCAGCTGACAAGTCCCTGAAAGATCATCAGCAGTTTGGAGTAGCATGGCTCAGTTCAGCTCAAAGGGCTTCTCCAGGACAGTCTAGGGTGCAAGTGTGAGGCCAAAGCCTGACTGCCCACTGAGATTCCAGTGATGTAAATGTGGAAGTCCAAAGGCCAGCCGCTCAGGCTTAAGGCCAAAGTCAAGGGTGTCCAGTTCCCACAGTCAGCTTGCTTTCTCTGGGCTCTCCAGACATTCAGGATCCCTGCCCACTTTCAGGCTAAGTCTTTCCGCCTAGTCCGCTCAGACTCTCACGTTAATCTTGTTTGGAAATTCAATGCAGACATACTTCAAATAATGCTTTGCTAAAATCCAGAATATTTCTCAATCCAGTCAGGTTGCCATTTTAAAATTATTACAGACCTCAAATTAAAACTGTCTAAATCAGTTCCTCTGTTTGGCAAAGTTGGAGTACCAGTTCACTATGAGTAAGGCACACAGCAGGTATCAAATGATAGCTTAGTAAATTTGGGATATTATTATCGTGTAATATTGCCTGGTACTTTTGATGATGATATGAAATTATCCTTGATAACTGATTTCTTCATTGAATTCTGTATGTTTTCATCCCTAAGAGCCCTACCTCCTATTTAAAAAAAAAAAAAGAAGATGAAGGGAAAGCAAAAATTTGGAAGGCACTGTAGATTTAAAATAATGTAACATATTTGGTTATCAAAATTCATAACTGAGTATTTTAAAATATGCATAATTTAAGATCTACTTGCTTAAATTTTCTTCAAGTGCTACATTACGAGGCAAGATTTGGACATAGCATTTTGGAATAGATTTCTTCAGTAAAGGAACAGAGTAACATTTTATTGGTCTCTCCAATAGATGACATGGAAAGGTCTATGGGACTAACACGATTGTCAGTTTACTTCTTTCTAAATTCATAGGAAAGCAAGCCCAGAGAAAGAGTGCAGCTAAGCCTTAGAACATTTCTGTAAAGCCATTCATACATTGTAGAGACTCGTGCAAATATGGAAGAAATCGTATTTGAGTTAGTAAAATTCTTAAAACACACACCCACCCATCCCTTTAGAAAGGGTTTCTCAACCTCAGGACTGTTGCCATTTCGGGCCAGATAATTCTTTGTTGTGGGAGTTACCCTGTGTGTTGTAGGATGTTTAGCAAAGCCCCGCTAGATATAAGTGCTGCCCACAGCTGTGATGACAGAAACATCTGGAGAAGGAATCACAAGCTGAGAAATACTGGCTTAGATTGACAGTCTATTACCTACAAAGGATACCTGAAAATCAAGGAGCTTTGATTTTAGCATAAATATACACACATGCGCACACACACTTGTTTTCTTTAGTTACATATGTTCTGGACTTTATTTTTTGAAAGTTCTAATACTTCTTAAGACTATAATGTCTGCAGTTGGGCTAGGTTTTCTATGCTACAAAAATATTAAGCAAAAACCTTGAGCCTTTGGAAAGCTTGCATTTTCTGACAAATAAAACCATAGAAGAACTACTTAATTTAACACCTTGTATCCAAAATATTATATCCTGCTCCAAGTGATTGTGGATGTGTTTTCTGTTAAGTAACAGTAAAAGCATTAAGATTAAAAACCAACAGAACTTAACTCAGTTAACCTTTCTCATTACAGATTTTCCAAAGAAATCAGTTCTGGCTTGTTAGAAGTCATATCGCCTCCTGAAAGTTATTATCCTGATTTAACAAATTTAAAGGAGACATTTGGAGACTCTAAAGAGAGAATCAGGTGAGCCAGGTAGAGTCCTCCATCCTTGTAAGTGTAAGATCTCATGAATGGAATTCTTATCAAGCTTGAAACATTTTGGTGGAGGAAGGGGGGTGAGGGGGGAAGGGGGAGTGCTCATGTTGTGTAACTGGTTAAGCCACCACCCACAATGTCAGGTCGTGACTGCCCCTCTTCAAATCCAGAAGATGGTGCAAGTGCTTGGGCCCCTGCATCTATGTGGGAGACCCTGAAGAAGCTCCTGGCTCCTGGCTTCAGCCTGACCCTCTCCTGACTTTTATGGCCATTTGGGAAGTGAACCAACAGAATGAATGATCTCTCTTTCTAGCTTTCTGTTTCTCTGTGACTAACTGCGTTTTAAGTAAATAAAATAAATCTTAAAAAAATGTTAGTGTTGAATTTGGCAAAATATTCTTCATAGACTCAGTTGTCTGAGCTTAATTAAGTTCAGGACAACTTGTGTGAGATATTCTGGAGAAGTTTGCTTAGTGTGAATGAAAGCATAAGCTTCTGTTTTATTGTGTTTTTGCTAAACTGGCTGTTAGGACTGCATGTCTGTTCAGTTTGGTCAGTGTATTTCTGATGGAACCAGGAATTCACTGAAAAGACCTAATGTTACAAATGTATGCCTAGATTCTCTGTTCTAGATAATAGGGTAGTGTTCTCCAAAAATACAATTTTGAAGCATCAATTTGATGATATTTGGAAAAATAGTGGTCTAAAGGGTATTTTTCCCCCTTTTTTTAAAAAGTGAATATTTCTTTGAAAGGCAGAACCTCAGAAAGAGACAGAGATCTTTTGTCTACAGATTCACTCCCCAAAGGGCTGCAAACTGTATCTTAAACCAGGAACTTGGAACTCCTTCTGGTCTCCTGTGGTGGTGACAGAGGCCCAAGTGCTTGGGGCATCATTGGCTGGATCAGAAATGGAGCATTCTGATATGGGATGCTAGTGTCACAGGTGGTGGCTTAAAGTGCTGTACCATAGGGTGGGCCCCTAAAGTTTTATTTTTAACACAGGCCTTCGTTGCTGCATATTTCAGTGCCTGGGATGTGCTAATGTTTTTCTAGATAGGAAATACATGCATAGTGTTTCTCAGACTTAATTACAGTGTATCCCTTTTTCCTTTGGCCATTTTTAAAAACGGATTTATTTAAAAGGCAGAGAGACAGAAAAAAGATTGATTGATTTGTATTCCATCCCCTGGCTCACTCCCCCAATGGTTACAACAACTGTGCCAGGCCAAAGCCAGGAGATTCCTATGTGTCTCCCACATGGGTACAGGAGTCTGAGCACTTGAGCCATCCTCCGTTGCTTGCCCAGGTGCCTTAGCAGGGTAGCTCTATCAGGAGTGGAGTGGCCGGGACCCAAACTACTGCCCAGGTGGGATGCTGGCACTGTACGTAGCAGTGTTTCCATTTTGCCACAACACTGGCCTCTTGAAGGACATTTTTGAGATTTCATATTCTTACATATATTTGAATGAAGTCTTCATTAGAAAAAAGGTGTGAGTCTTTGATTCATAATCCCAAATATAAATATATAGAGAAATTCATGTATATCACACATATATAATCATGTATGCAGTCATGTGTATTTTATGTAGACAGTTGATGTTTATACATCTAATTTTATTTCACTTCATTTTAATCTGTCTTCAACTTTTAAATTGTATAATTTGGTTTCTTTTTCTGATTAATTTTTTTTAAATGTTTCAGATGGAGAACAAAGCAAAATCTAGATTATTGTTTTCTAATGATGTATGCTCAGGAGAAGGGCATATATTACATTCAGGTAAGTTCCATACCTCTAAGCGCTAGCATTTTGTGAAACAAGCAGTTTTGGAAGCAGCCCTCTCTGCTCTGTAAGCTCGGAGTCCCCTCAGAGGTGATGCCTGAGAAGGCAGGCTCTGAGGTTCTATTCCCGAGACCATGCAGACACCAGCTCCCTCGAGGGGTGACATGTACTGATCTCCACCTCCTTTTTTTCTCCCCTTCCTCCATCTCCTCTTTCCTAATCCTCTCCACTGTTAAAAAGAACTAAAATTTAATTATTTGACAGTTTTAAAAGAAGGATTTCTCTGTTTGTTCAAGTGGTCTTATAACAAAAATGATTTTTGTAGATCACAATACAATATACTACATTTATGTTGTAATAAAGTTGACATTTAATTGTAATGCTCTAATTTTAGCAGCATCTCCATGATGCTACAGTGTTGAGTAGATTACTTCCTTAATGATAAGGTAACAACCCCTTAACAAATTCTAGGAAGCTCTTCTAAGCTTCATTAAATTCCACAATTCTCTTCATTCTTTATCCAAATAGGATCTTTATCCCTTGTTTAGAAATTAAATACCTTGGAGAAGTGTAATACACTAAGTCTGACATGTTAAAAATGTGTTGTATCATTCCCTGAGGGAGATTTCGGTGAAGGTACCAAAAAGGGATGTTGGTGCCTGACTCAGAAAAGGAAGTAGTTGGGCAACTGGTGGAGGGACAGGGTGGATGGGGAGAGAAGGAAGTGATGAGATCTCACATTGAAGAGTTTTGCATGTAAAAACACAAAGTCCTTGATGTGAGTAGTACATTTCCTTGAAACAGCTTAGAAGAAGTCTTATTTTAATTTCAAAATAATAAACATTTTACTTTAGCATGTCTCAAGTATTATTGCAGTTGAGCATTGCTGTTTTTGTTCTAGGATAAATTTATAAGTAAGTACATTATAGTTAAGACCTTCATATAGAGAATTTTGAAGTGTAGTTACATTGTTTTAAAATTTATTTTAGGTTTCTCTTCAGGGAAAGAAATAATAGAAATTTGATTTTTTTGTTGTTGAGTATAGAAAGAGTAAATATTCAGGAATTGAAGGAAAACTTCCCCAAAGCAGGGTCAGTTAATAATCTGTAACAACAGCCACAGCTGTAGGCCTAAATTTGTCCTTTTTGGACAGGCTTATTTTACTCATAATCTCCTCCAAGATTATGCCTGTGTAACTTGTAATGAACTTCTTTCCTTTCTAAGGCTAAGGTAATATATATAAATACATATTTTATAACCAACTATGGATAGATAGAGTATATATTATATACCCAGGCATCTTGTGGGGAACATTTGGGTACTTGCTGTCTTGTCTATAATAAGTATGCTGCAGTGAACATGAGTGTGCACATACCTTTTCAGGATCACACTCTGAATTCTGCATATATACCTTAAAGTAGCACTGCTGGGTCGCTTGACAGTTTTATTTACATTTTTTTAAACACCTTCCTTACTGTTTCCCACAGTGACATTACCATTTTACATTCCTTCTAACAGTGTACACAGAGGTTCCAAGCACTGTGCATCCTTTTAGCACTTGTAGTCCTCTGTTGTTGTTTTTAATAGAGTTGATCCTAATGAATTTAGGACGGTACCTCATTGTGGTTTTCGTTGTCGTTTGTTTTATGATCAGTGGTCTTGAGCATCATTCCATGTGTTGGTCCTTTGACCATCCTTGGAGAATTGTCTGTTCAAGTCCTTTGCCCATTTTTCAGTTGGGTTAGTACTGACTTCCATTGCTGTGCTGGAGTAATTCATTTTGAGGGCTCGATAATAACCCCTTATCAGATGCGTGATTTACAGATGTTTTCTCCAGTTCTCCTTTGACAACAGAAGTATCTCAGTTTGTAGTCCTGTTGTCTGTTTTTGCCTATTTCCAAATCCCGAAGTGTTTGTTTTCTTCCAAGAGTTTTATAGTTTTAGCTCTATAATTAAGGCTTTAGTCCATTTAGAGTTAATTTTTGAGTATGGCACAAAGCAGGGTGGTTCCAGTTTCTTCCTTAGGTGTGTGAGTTTTCCAGTTTTTCAACACAGTTTGCTGAAGAAACTGTTGATTCCCTACAGTGTAATCTGATATCCTTGTTAACGATTGTATGATTACATATGCGATAGTGTTCATTCAGTTGATCCGTCTGTCTGTATGCCAGTGCTAGATGGACTTGGCTACCATTGCTTTCTGGGATATTTTGCTGTCAGGAAATGTGAGTCCTCCAGTTCTGCTCTTTTTCAAGATTATTTTGATGGGTCTAGCATGTGGCCTAGTGGCTAAAGTCCTTACCTTAAATGCACCAGGATCCCATGTGGATGCCAATTCTCATCCCAGCAGCCCTTCTTCCCATCTAGCTCCCTGCTTGTGGCCTGGGAAAGTAGTCGAGGATGGCTCAAAGGCTGGGACCCTGCCACGTGGGAGACCCAAAGGAAGTTCTTGGCTCCTGGCTTTGGATCAGCTCAGTTCCAGCCGTTGTGGCCACTTGGGAAGTGAATCATCAGAGGGAAGATCTTCCTCTCTGTCTCTCCTCTCTGTATATCTGAGTTTCCAATAAAAAATATACTGTTTTAAAAAAAAAGATTATTTTGATGGTTTTGGGATACTTTAAAATTTCATGTGTATTTTAGGATTAGGATTTTTTTTTATTTCTATGAAAAATGCTGTAGGGATTTTGAAAAGGCCAAATCTAATAACTTTGAGTAGTATATACATTTTTAATATTCAGTCTTGTAATTCATATGAGATGTCTTTTCATTTCTGTATTCCTTGATTTTTTTAGTCATGTAGTTTTTATTGTAATCAGGTCTTTCACCTCCTTAGATTTATTCCTAAATATTTTATCCTTCTTTAATGCTTAGTTTTCCCAGGTTTGTTTTTTTTTTTTTGATGGGGGTAGTTCATCATTGTTAATGTACAGAGATATGACCAATCTTTAGGTGCTGATTTTGTATCCTGAAACTTTGTCATAATTATTTACTAGTTCTGATAGGGTTATTTATTTATTTATTTATTTATTTTTGGCTTCTGTATGTATGGAGATCATGCAATCTGTAAACAGTGATCTTATTTTCTAATTTGATTGCTTCTTTTTCCTTTTAAATTTCTTTCTGTAGCTGGGATTTCCTGTACCATATTATAGTTAGAATAGGCATCCTCATACTACTCCTGACCTTAGAATGAAACTCTGATATGAATCACCATATCACCATTTTAGTGTGACATTAGCTGTAGGCTTTGTATAAGAAAATAGAACTTTTGTTATTTTGAGGTGATAATTTCCTTCTAAATTGTGGAGTATTTTATGAAAGTATGTTTGATTTTGTTAAATGCTTTTTCTATATCAGTTGAGATGATGATGTGTTTTCTCTGTTTTGTTAACATGTATTACCATTGATTACTTTTTATTACTTTTTTTTTAACTTTTATGGTATAATTCCATAGGGTTTGGGATTTCCCTACCTGCTCCCCAAACACCCAGCATTAATTACTTTTTACTTGTTGAAGCATCCTTGTATTGCAGGTATATGTCTTGTTTTGTGTGTAATATTTTCATCGTACTGTTTCCTTCTGTTTGCTGGTGTTCCGCTGAGGATTTTTGTATTGGTTTTCATGAGGCTACTGGCCTGTAGTCTTATTTCATCTTTGTCTATTTTTGGTTTCAGAGTGATGCTGACCTCATAGAGTATGTGCAAAACTTCTTTCCATTTCTGTTTTTGGAGAGAGGTTTAAGAGGATTGGTCTTAATTCTTTGCATGTTTATCAGAATACTCTAGTGAAATGTTCTGGGCCTTTGCTTTCCCTTACTTGATTTTTTTTCTCCTTTAAGTTCTTCACACATAGTGTTCACATTTTTTATTTCTTCATGATTCAGTCTTCTCAAGTTATGTGTTCCTAGGAATTCATTTCTTCTAGAATTTGGTTGTGATATACTTCTAGAATTAGTATTTAGTTGTGATATAATTGTTCTGGATCTCTTCAGTTTTTCTGTTCTGTAGCATTCACTGTAACATTCTAATTACAAATTTGAGCTATTTGAGGAATTTTTTTTTAATTTAAAGATTTATTTTTGTTGGAAAGACAAATTTACTCCCCAAGTGGCCACAACAGCCGGAACTGAGCTGATTGAAAGCCAGAAGCCAGGAACTTCCTCTCCATCTCCCACGTGGGTGCAGGGTCCCAAGGCTTTGGGCCATCCTCGCCTGCCTTCCCAGGCCACAAGCAGGGAGCTGGATGGGAAGCGGGCTGTGGGGACATAAACTGACACCCATATGGGATCCCGGTACGTGCAATGTGAGGACTTTAGCCACTAGCTACTGCACTGGGCCCAGCTTGTGTCTTTTCTAAGGTGGTATCCACTCTGGAGTTGTACTTATAATCTGGGGATGAGAGTTGCTGGTTTTCTTCAGGAGCTCCTCCGAATGTCTGCGGGCTTGCTTATATTGAAGTAATATGATAGTGCTGGAGCTCCACCTAGTGTCTGTATGTGTTGCTGTAGCCTCTGGTGTCAGTTGGTGGGTGGCCTTTGTTCTTGGTGACCTCCCAGGTGTCCTGTTTGTCACGGCTTTGATTTGGACAAGATAGATGGAATGCATCTCCAAAAGTGGAAATGTTGGATGTTTGTCTGTCTGCTTTGTCTGCCCAGAAAGAAGTCATGTGTTTCTTCCTAATCATGTGGCTTTGTGCTTCAGTGAGGGGCTCTGGCTCCTGAATGGTTTTAAATCTGTGTCCCTTGGAGAGGGGGAAGGGAAGCCTAGAGTTTCCTCTTCTTTTTTTTTTTTTTTAAAGATTTATTTTTATTATTTTTTTATTGGAAAGGCGGATATACAGAGAGGAGAGACAGAGAGGAAGATCTTCCGTCCAATGATTCACTCCCCAAGTGAGCGCAACGGGCCGATACTATGCCAATCCGAAGCCAGGAGCCTCTTCCAGGTCTCCCACGCGGGTACAGGGTCCCAAAGCTTTGGGCAGTCCTCGACTGCTTTCCCAG